CTCGGGGATCTAGAAGAGGTCAAACAGCTCTCTCTGATTACCTCTGAGGGCAACAGTGAAAGAGGTTAGCGCTATGAAGCATTGACCAGACTCAGCCAGACAATGTATGTCTTCTCACACTGCCTCTCACTAACTGTGTGATCAGCGGCCATGGGAAACCCTTTTTTCTTAGTTTGATCTGTGAAATGGGAAGGATTGTATCTCTCTCTGAAGGCCCTGGCAATTGATGGAGTTTTTCACCATAGGCCTGGATCACTTCAAATGTTAGCTCCACTGCTAACCAACTCAGAAACTTGGAAATTAGAATCTCTGAGCTTCCGTGTCCCTCAATTGTCCCTCTCTGAGGCCCTGTGAGCAACCTCCAGAAGTTATTGTCCCTGGCTGCAATCTTTGTGGGCTGCTGTTGAAGAGAAAACCTAAGGATTGGGAAAGCCCCAGCTTTCAGGTTCTTGGATATCTGGGGTCCTTGTTTGTAGACCTGTGGCCCCAGATTACCTTGTAATTTCTTATGACACAACAGACCCAAAATATGAGGTTAGTGCAAGAGAGGATCCAAAATAACAATGCACTTTGTGCATGAAATATCTCACTTTGTGCCTGTACTTCACCAAATACTCAGATATTGGCTTGTGTATAATTAGAATGGGCATATTTATAAACATACTTTGCAAAAATTTAGGGTGATTGCAAAATGTGAGGAATGATTTAATTATAAGATTAATACAGTAAATGTCACGGCCTTTAACACCCCCCCACACACATACACACGTGAAAATGCTCCCCTTTATTTTGGACTTATTAATGTCATCATTTTTGCCACTTTCTGGAAGTCCTCTTTTGTGAATGTCCTTACATGGTGTCATCAAAAATACAGTGAATGCTGCTGTCCAGTGCCATCCAACAGATAGACAAGCACATGAAATGTGAGGGGAGTGTCCTCATCTGTCTTATGCACTGGATGGCACTATGGGACTTCTGGCTTGTCCCCAAGGTGAGAAGGACCAGGACAGGAAAACACTCTGAATCAACTGAGGAAACCTAGGCAAACACAACAGTCAAAATGAAGACACCCCTGAAAGATACTTCGAGAACTGATTCAGAAAGAGGCAAGTGTGCTAGGGTAAATATAAAGTGAGGGTAGATACTTTGAAGGGAGTTAAGGGCATTGTGCCTTCACTGTGATAAAATTTTAAGAATGTATGTATATTATACTTTAATCCCCCCTCATATGTAGTCTTTTGCCATTACTACATGCCCTCCTCAGCTCACAACGCACTGCCCAGATGAGCACATTACTCTTTTCTGCTGAACACAAACACAGCTTCAGGATCCTCTATGGCAGAGCTCTGGGTGTGCAGCGATGAGTGTTGAGACAGGTAACCAAGCAGCTTTGTTGTTTCTGGCTAGGGAGAGTCCAGAAGAGCACGAAAGGGAGCAAGGACAGCAGAGGGATGCCTCGGATAATTGACTTTCTTCACTCGGTGTAATTTTCCCAGTCTAACACAAATTCAGCTGCTACTTGGGCACATTCACCCCATACAAGGCTATAATAATACCACAGAGCAGGCAATTTGTAAACAGGAGGATCTGTTTGGCTCAAAGTTGTGGAAGTGAGAAGGGCCAGGAGCATGGAACCAGCAGTGAGTGCGACATGGCACCTTGCTTCATCCATTGGCAGAAAGGCTAGTGTACATGTGTTTGCAATTGGGCAGAACTCATTCTATCATCAGGACTCCAAAACAGAGATAACTGACCTACACCCACCTTAGGGAGTAGAATCCATTCATCTGGGAAATTGCCTAATCACCTAGGTAAAGTTTCACCTCTTAATACTCTTACGTGAGGAACAAAATTTCAACATGAGCATTGGAGGGGATAAACATAAGAGCCCAGTTTCCTACATGAACACAACCCAGAGCCCACAGAAATAAAATGAGCAGACTATATAGGAAGGAAGTAGAAGAGAAAGATGAGAAGCTTTAGCAGTTGTGATCTGAGACCTGCCTTCCAGACCCTAACCTCCCATTCGCGTCACTTTCTTCCTCTTGTCTCCAACAGGCAAACATACTGGAAAAGATGAGAATTTGTTCTGTTCCCAGATTTTTCCACTTTATACAAGCCATAATAGTCATAAAGAAGAAGGACCCTGAATTGGTGGTGACCAACCTGCACTTTGGAACAATCCCTGTGAGGCTGTTCCAGCCCAAAACAATGTCCTGCAGGCCCCGTCGAGGCATCATCTACTACCATGGAGGAGGCGGAGTTTTGGGCAGCCTGGGTAAGGAGATTCCCCATGGTATGGAAGGGGTAAAAGGACCATGGTATAGGCAAAACTTTGTTCAAGGTCCCAGGTGATGCACATGGAATGAGTTAAAGAAATCTTTTAGGGGATCACAGATACAAAGGTAGGGGCTTGTTTCCATAAATGGGAATATTAGGTAGTAGTTTGGGGTACCCTTGACAGCACAATGGCTTCTCCTCTCCCATTGCAACCTCAGGAGAACAGGCCTGTCCTGTCTGCATCACAGTGACCTCAGACTCACACATTGTTCTTAGATCTGCAGGTCCATACCCACTTTCTCTTGCCCACCTCCTTCACTTCTGGAGCGGCTCCTTGCATGTTTCTCTGTGCTTGCAGCTCACTTAGCCTCAAAAGCTATCTCCAGTGTCGGGTGTGGATCTCAGTGTTAGGAAGCTTACCTAGCATGAAATAGGCTCTGGGTGACATCACCAAGAGTGCAAAAAAAGTCCCCATCACAACTTTGCATGAGTCAACCTCTCAGGGTGGCCGTACCCAGCATCCTATCTCACACTCTGGTCTGCTCTGGACGAGTCTCCATTGTCATCTCCATCCTTGTTAAACATATGTGGCGCTTGTGGAAAGCAGATATGATCTTCATCCTCCTTTATTTGCTTTTACTGCCTGTTTGCCCCAACTTAGAGTGTTAACTCCAAGGGTGCAGGGAAAACTGCTAGTATCTCTGTCTGTGTGCTCTCAGGACTTAGCTGCAGTGTTTCTTATTTGAAGGAATGAATGAATAATGAGGTGAATGGATCAGTGAATGGTTACATAAGTGGACAAGTTTGCAAATGTACAAATGGATGGGCGTGTGCTCACATATATGCATGGGTTACATTGAAACATGTTGAAATTTAACTGAAAACACATCCCGTTCAAGTGACCCACCTTTGGAGCACTCTTCCCTCTCAGAAGTCCTAGGGATCCCTCCCTAAGATCCAAAGGTGAAAGCAGCGATGGGTCAGCAAATATTCTCTGAGGACCAAGGCAGCGTTGTGCTGGTGCAGAGTCTCCACCTAAGTTGTGACTTGTGACTCAGCTGAACCCCTCACTGCCTCTGCCTCCATTTCTCCTCCATCGTCACCCCACCACTCACCCTGGATGATGGCGCATCCTCTTCACAAACTCTCCTGAACATGAGAACCACCTGATGTGATTTGGGGGAAGATCTTGAAGCCACGAACCCTACCCAGAACCATTGTTCCCAGTGGGTGGGATGTGGCTTTCAGGTAGCGGACATTGGAAGATTCTCTGGTACCTCTTGGTGCCACCATCAGGAACTGGGCAAGGTTGAGTGGGAGGAGCATTTGGCAGGTCTTGGGCTCACTACTGGCCCTGCAGCACAGCCCACTGATATCAATGGATCTGCGTTCTGGATCATTACTTGTCGTACTCTATTAATATATGTGTTCAATACAATCATCATTTATATCCTTAGCAATATAAATACATCAGCTTATTAATATTTCCAGGCAGACATGCCCAACTTGATTTACCTTGGCTTTGTCCATTTCAGATCCCTAAAATTTCCTGGCTGTCTATTTCCTTCATTGCAATATTAATTAATAAAAACCTGATTTTCTCGGTCTGCTTCCTTCTCAATTACTGGGATTGGAGCCGACGTCAGGTATTTCCCTGGCAGAGCCAGTCACTCCAGAGATCAGAGTAGAAGTACAGATAGGACAGAACCCTTCAACCACAGCTGTGCTCCTTGGAGCTGTAGAGAGGTGTGGGGCCCTCCGTGTGTGTGATTGGGGTCTGGTCTTGTCTTGCAGATTGTTACCACAACGTCTGTGCTTTCCTAGCTCGGGAAACGGACTCAGTGCTGCTGTGTGTGGGGTGAGTT